GACTGGGATAATTGGGATGGGAGTGTCAGAGACAGTGCGATTGGCACAGGACCGCGGAGTTTAGGGCTGTTGTACATAGGGTCGCTATGAGTCGCAGGCGACTCGAGGGCACATAACAACAACAACAACTTCTATCAGTGTATTTTTCCTTGATCTGCCTTCTATGCTTTGCTCACCATTTTCTTTTGCCTTTTTAGTTTTATAATCTTTTTTTTACTCTTAATATTTACAGTAGGGAAATAAAAAGCATACATAAAAATGAAAAGACTAGACCAATAACTCCCATATATCTATCATCTAATTTCAATAATTGTAAACATTTTTTAGGAGAGGCTGTTCCTTGGAAAGGGACATCATGCTTGGAAAGGTGGAAGGTCAGCAAAGGACAGGAAGACCTTCAATGACATGAATTGACACAGTAAGTGCAACATTGGGCTCAGAATATCAGAGATGATGAGGATGGAACAGGATAGGGAAAAGTTGAGGTCCGTTGTTCATAGATTTGCTATGAATAGTACTCTATTCAATGGCACCTACCAACAACAGCAATAACAATTTATAGCCTACAGTGCCTATTGTAACTATAGTTAATTGATTTCTAGAAAATATATTTCATTTGCAACCCTAATTGCAATCCAACTTATAATGATTCCATGAATGAATGAAAAATTCCAAAATCTCTGTAAATGTTCATTAAAAATAATAAAATTAATAAAAAAGTTATCTGTTACACATTTGAAGTCAATTCCTATGTGTAACCGTGGACTCAGCATCCAGTGATATATTTTCTGTCTCTGTAGATTTACATTTTCTAGAAAACAGTATCAGTGAAATCACACAGTGTTATTATTGTAAGGTGCCATCAAGGCAACTATGATTAATAGTGACCCTATGGATCTGACCTTTCCCTTATCCTGTGCCATCCTCAACATCTCTGATATTTTGAGCCTGTTGTCACACTTACTGTACCAATCCATCTTGCTGAAGGTCTTTGCCACTTTTGCTGATATCCCACCTTTCCGAGTATGACCTCTTTTTCCTAGGACCAGCCCCTTCTAACAGCATGCTCAAGCTTCACTATCTGTGCCTCTAGAGCACCCTAATTGCACTTACTCCAAGACATATTTCTTTGTTTTGTTGGCATTCTATATCATATTCAGCACTCATCTCCAGCACCACAACTCAAAGATATTGGTTTGTCTTTTGTTATCCTTAATTACTGTACAACTTTCTGATGCATACCAAATAATTGAAAAGACTGTGGCTTAAACCAGACATACCTTGTTGTTGTTAATTGCCATCAAGTCGAGCACAACTCATAATCACTCTATAAACTAAAGGCCTGAAGCCTTTCTATAACTATCGTCGTTTCTCCAGGCTCATAGAGATTCCAGAGGCATGTGGTTTAGGAAGTAGCATGTGGTTTAGGAATCAGTCTGGAAGCTGTACAAAACACTGCCCATGATGAGTAAGTAGCCATTTATGGTGTTTGACTTACCTATGGCACAGTTGTCCATCATCACAGCAACTCTAAGTTACTTCAGTAGAGCAAATAGAAAGATCACTGCTCTACCTCTTAAAAGAATGTTCATCCCAAACCTTAGTCCTTCTAAATCCTGCTTGAACTCCTGGCAGTTCCCTATCTGTGTAGTGTTCCAGCTGGTTTTGAGTGATCATCAACATTATTTTGCTTGCATGTGATATCAGTGATATTATTTGATAATTTCCACATTCAGTTTAATCATCGTACTTGGGAATGGGAACAAATATGGACCTCCTCCAATCCATTGGCCAGTCATCTCCAAATTCCTGGCATACACTGAAGAGTGCATCCCAGACTGCATCTGTTAATTGAAACAAGTAAACGGATATCCTATCAATCTTGTGTGCCAAGAAGTGTGAAAATGGTGCAGGATAGGACTGGGTTCAGTTCTTTGGTTTATAGGGTTGTTATGAGTTATACTTGACTTGATGGCACCTAACAATACAAGCTTAGTCTTTAAAATGGTTTCATTGCTCCTTAATACCTTAGCGAGATCTTTGACAGAAGATTTATCCATTGTATAACATCTTTTGATTTCTTGACTGTTGGTGCCAAGACTGTTGATTGTGAATCCAAACAAGATGAAATTGTTCTCTCCAAAGAAGTTTTTGATCTTCTGCAGCAGGTATTCAAGTCCTCTTCACTTTTTTCAAGAAACTATTTTATATTGGTGTACATACTAAACTTGTATACACTGTTTCACACTATTCTTCATTCACACTGTTTCATATAATCATTTTCATTCATTAGGTTTTGTAAAATTGATGTTTTGATATGACCACCATTACTCTATCTTTTTAGATCTCTACTCCATCTTTCCCATTTCTTTTATCCCCTCCCTCCTCCCACCACATTGTGTAATCTCATAACTTCCCCTCTGACCATCCTCACCCCTTTGCTCCCACCCTTGGGGCCCCATATTCATTTTACTAGTTACCTTTCTATTTTTACACTATGCAGTGAGACCTTGTGAGACTGAGTTAGTTCACTGAGCATAATGATCTCTAGAATCTCACATGTTGTGCATTATTTTACAAAATTATTACTCTTTACTGCCTCATATCTTTCCACTGTGTGAACAACCATAAGTTTTTAATAGTTTGTTGATGGACATTTGGACCATTTCCATTTTATTGCTATTGTGACTAATGCTACCATGAACATAGATGTACAAATCTTCATTTGTGTCTCAATTCAGTTTTTCTGGGGATATATTCATAGCAGTGGAATACCTGGGCCATATGTGATTTCTAGGTTTAGCTTTTTGAGGAAATGCCAAACTGCCTTCCAGAGTGGTTGTACCATTTAACAGTCCCACCAGCAGTGCATTAGAGTTTCAGTCTCTCCACATCCTCTCCAACATTATTGCTTGCTCTCCTGTTAAACTTTGTTACTGCTCCTGGGGTGAGATGATATCTCCTTGTGATTGATTGCCAATAATGATTTTGGGCATTTCTTGAGCAATACTTATTTACTGAAATATACTCTCCCTATTTGATGTGCTCTTTTACAAGTATGAACTGGAGAATGGCCAACACGCAAATAACTACCTCCTGTGCTAATTACTGTAATGCAAAGTGTGGTTGGGAATCAGAAATATCCCAATGACCTTCAATACATATTTATATCTGTAACATTTTAAAAGGTCTTTACACAACATAAAATCCACAGCAGCGTCTACCCATTTTGGGCATTTCTTAATTTGTCTGTTGGCCATCTAAATGTCTTTTTTGAAAAGTATTTCATCCCATTTGCCCATTTTATGATTGGCTTATCTTTTCCTTGTGGAGGCCCTGCAGTATTCTGTAAACTTTATTTATGAGACTCTTGTCTGAGATGGTATTGGCAAATTTTTTTTTCCTATTCAGTAGGTTTTCTTTTTGTCCTGTTTGAAAAAGTTCTTGATGAGCAAAGGGATTTAATCGTTAGAAAGTCCGATTCATCAATTTTAACCCCTCTAGATTGGCCATTTCTGGCTGTGTTTGTCAGTTTCTTTATGCCATAGACTAGGCCTTCTAAACTTGGTCCTGGTTTGTCCCTTATGAACTTTATGCCTTTGGGCTTTACTCTCAGGTTTCTGATCCCCTTTGAGTTGATTTTTTTATAGGGTATGAGATGTGGATCCTGCTTCAGCTTTCTGCAGGTTAACAGTCCAATTTTGCCAGCATCATTTGTTGAAGAGGTTGCTGTTTCCCGATTTGATAGGTTTTGTTTCCTTGTTGAATATCAATAGGCCATAGACTGATGGGTTCATTTCTGGGTTCTCAATTCAGTTCCAGTGGTCTGTGCTTGGGTTTGGGTTTTTTTTTTTTTAATAGAATTCTAATGTGTCTCTAGTCTTGTTAATTCCCAAATTTCTCAGTTTGTGCTTGGCTATTCTAAATTGCAATGCTTTCTTAGTTTTCTATGTTTTCTTTGATACTGTAGAGAAATACCACTGATTTTTATATATTGATCTTAAATTCTACAACTTTACTAAATTTGTCTACTAGATCCAACAAGTTTTTTTGGTGAGTCTTTGGGGTTTTCTTTGTACACTATCATATCGTCTGCACATACTGACAGTTTTGCTACATTTTTGCGGATTGGATGCCTCTTATTTTCTTGTAATGTCTTATTGCCCATGGATAGGAGTGGTTATAGTAGGCGTTGGTGTCTGTTCCCTGTTTGCAAGGGGAATCTCTTTAGACTTATATGGAGAGCAATCCTGAAGGTACGTGGTTCGAGGTCACCAGCTGATTCATGGGAGAAGGTTGCACAATCTCCACCCCGTGGAATTAATTGCCTCTACAAACTTGCTGGAGGATCAGCTATGGGTCGGTTCTGACTACTGT